CACAGGAAATTTCTAGGAATGTCCACTGAAAGAGACAAGCTCAGATGTGCTTTACACTATCACCAAACAGGTTAACTCCACCTGATGAACTGTCCTTTAGAGACAGGCACTGGACTTGACAATGAGCTCATGAAAAATGAAGAGGTGCAATTTATTCAAAGGACCAAATATCTCACAGAAAGGGGCAGGGGGAAGGGAAGAAAATGCAGCAGGGGAGAGGGGTCAGAAGCAGTCCAAAATTTGTGCAGGCAACTGCAGCATAAAAACAACCGAACCAGTACTACCCCAAGAACTCAGTCATAAATTTTAATGGCTTGTTGTCTTTACAAAGCCTTCAGCAACACAGTAAGAAGTGCCTGTTTTCCCTCATTTCACATCTTCACTATTGAATGCTTTCTTTTCCCTCCCTGATGCCATTTTAGTCTAAACAATGTATCTGTTTTGAGTGCAACAATGAAGCAGACTGCTAGCAGGGACAGAGATGTGTGCTACCTGGAAACAGCCCAGCTCCCATCCTTTCCCGAAATCGTTCCCTGTTAGCCATACCTGAGGACAAGCTGGCTATGTTGTGGTCAGTCAAGGGCATGCACCAAGGGTAGCAAAGAGACAACACGTCCCAGAAGCTTCCTGGGTTGTGCCTGCATCCAGCAGGATCTCAAGCCTTTGAGGTGTTGTCAAACACTGTTTGCCTTCAAGACGTCTATTAAACGCTAGATTATAGAATGCCCTGATAGGTTTGCATGAAGGGCATTGTGAGACTGACTGACAGACTGATGGGATAAAGATGTCAGGAAAACCTTCAAAGTTTAGTTTTGACAAAAGTCAAGGAAAAGAACTGCAAAGGATTCCAAATCTTGTTGCGAACGGGCTTTCCCACAGATTTAACAGGGAAAATAAATGTGCAAATTCCAATAGACCCTACTTTGAGTCACATTAGTGATTCAAGATGCTTCATCATTCTCTACATCATACGAACTGCAGACTTTATATTTCCCAGACTCTACTAATAACAAGCCCTATAATTAGGTATCTGTCCTTTGCAATCAGCACTACAGATTTCTGTTCATAGGAGAAAAATTGTAGGGCGGGAGAACCACTCAAAAGCTGTCACCAGCGTAGCGTGTCTGGCTAATGGTTTCAGAAACATTAGAAGAGAACAGTTCCTTAATTTTGGTATGTAGTATGCTAATAAAAATGTTCCTATTCATTTGTCTGTCTGAGTGAACCCACACAAGTTTTGGGTTCAAGCTCATTTTCTCAGCCTGCAGTAGTTAAGTAACAGATTTCTTCTGATTTCCTCCTTCCCCGTACCTGTGGAGCTGTTTTCCTGGATGACTGGCCACAAACTGTTCCTGCTCATTAGTCAAGATTTGCTTTTCAAGTTTGATAAAGCAAGATGATGAAGAAATGCTGCCTAGGGCTGGTTTAGGAGTAAGAATGAGAGCAGTACCCATACAGTTTGCTGGTTTCTGTTCTTTGACTTGAAATGAAGAGCCTATATTTTCAGCAGGCAAGAATCAAACTGTTACTGGACTATCCTGGAAAGCTTTGAGAGGTAGCAACAAGGAGGTTTTGGTGTAAAATCTTGGCCTATTGAAATCACAACAACATCAAGTGAGGGATTTTACATCCAAAGGAAGATGCATTTACCTAGTCTTATCACAGACTTTAGAAGCAACAGAGCAAAAAATTATTCTGATTACGTTGCCTACAGTAAGGCAAAAGCCTGCTTCTCACTGCATTGCACCATTGAGATCGCAGCAACTCTGAAAGATATTCTAGTAGAGTTCCTCTGGTCCCTGTTTTATGTCTGGAGAAGTAAATTTCCCCACCAAGTTGTCTTTGACTATATTTTAAAAATGAATTTCATGCCAGTGCCTCCCATTCTTCACTCTAGCAAAACTGCCTCTGGAGGAAGCAATGACAGCTCTCAGACACAATCTTCTGCCCAGTACTTAGCCAATAGTCCTTCATCTCTGAGGTTTCCAAAACCAGGAGGGTTATTTTCAGGGACACACATATTAAAATTAATGCTAAATCAAAAGGGCTGCCTGCCGTGGGGCTTGATTGGATATGAACAAAGAATGTCACTTTCTGAAGTCAACCTGCACATAGATCATTTTTTTTTCACCACCTAATCATGATTGTGAGAACATAAATCATGAGAATTACAATAAGCAAGCCTGATGAATGTGCACCACAGGAACTCCAGCCTCAATCCCCTTCGAGGTCATCACTGGAGACAGTCCTTTTCTAGGGCTTGGTTTCTACTGCCTGGCACATCCACTCCTTAGCCACACTCTTTGGAGGGAGATAAGAAGTACACCACCCTTGCTTCTGTTTTGTCTATAGCCTGTCTCTCCTTTTAACCTGAAAATGAAGCCCCATAAGTGTCTGTAAAAGCTTCCTGTATTTTTTTTTCATTCACTTACAATGAGACTCTTAATAATTGGAAATAAAGCAAAAATCCTCAGGAGCATGACAGTGAAATCTGCAAGTGCACAGGAATTTAGTCTTCTCAATATTTATGTTTAGAATTAAATACTTCATGCAAAAACAATGACTTTGACTCCCGAGGCCTTCTCTCTCTTATCTCAAAAACCATTCATACACATGCTCCGGGATCTCTATGCAAATATAAAAAGGGGATTAAGTTGTATGTGTAGTAAATCCTGTTTTTACATTAAATAGGTAAGAGCTAACGGAGGGCCTTTGGATTACAAATAGGTTTCTATTTGCTGAGCAGACTAAAGCATTCTTTCCTCTGGCTGCCCTGCCATGCAGGAATTGACTTTTTCCTACTGAGAAATTCAAGTTAATTATAAAATCTATAGTATATTAGAGGTATGTACTGTACAATAAATGATTTTGATTTAAATAACTGTACATTAAGGAATGTCCCCTACCTCCACAAAACCACTCATTGCTTTGCAATGGGAAGCTGTGCCCCAGCCCACCTATGACAGTAGCATTGCATGAGAAACTTCTACACCCTTAGGACTTCATTTGGGAAATATCAGGGACAAAAGGTGAAAACTGAAATCACAACTGTTTGAATAGGAGGCAAGTACTGCCCCTGGCCCTAGACATCATCTTTGACCATCATCTGGTGCTTTCTCTCCACCCTTTGCAGCAGAAGCCAGGAGGAGAAAAACTCCTCTAGTCCCACCAAATCAATTGTTACTTCTGTTATAAGTGATCTAAAGAAATTTGCTGCTCAAAATGGGAAAGAGTTAATAAAACTGCTATATTATGTTGAATGCTTTGTTGGAATCATAAGTTAACGAGTTGTGAAATGCCTAACCACAAGTTCTGTAAAGCTGCGGAATGATTAACACAACGCAATAATGAGTTAGCATAATGTAGTTTAAAGATGTTTTGTTCCAAGTATATTAATAGAACCAATATGAAGGGGTCGACCACGAGGAGTCCAGGTGATCAACCGTCACCCTGATGGAAATTTCCAGGACCATGGCCTCATAGAAACTAATGACTTTAAAATCATTGGTGGACACCCCTCAGCAACGGCGACTGCCCGCGAAAGGAGGAACCAACCCAACGTTTGCCCGCCAAGAGGGAACCAAGCAGGATGCAGCCCGCGAAGCCTCCACCAATGGACTGATGACTTTGGGGGGGAGGTGACAACGGGGGGGTATAACAAGTGCTGTTTCAGTTCTCCTTTGTGGACCACGGTAGGAACTGAGGTTTCCTCCAGTCACCCAGCTAGCCGTTTTTGTTGTTGGCATTAATAAATCCTTTTATTACCTTGCAACCAAAATTATAGCCTCGTTTTACTCATTACACTTCTAAGACCACATGACAAATGCACTGGCATTTTGGTTCAATTTTTATGGCCTGTCCCACAACAAGGAAAATCAGGCTGTGGCATAGAGCTGAAGAGAACACAAAGCATAGGGCTCTGTAGGCAGCCTAGCTGGGTGGCTGCTGACCCAATCATGTGTTTTTTTGTTTCACCCGTTGTCCTTTGTTCCCTTATAACATTAAAAAAACCACCAAGACACTACCCTGCACAAGGCAAATTCCTCTCTGTGCATCTTGTAAGGCCAGTCCCTGGGTCCGCAATGAACACAGTCACCAGAGTGGGAAATATTCCACAGAGTCTGATGGAGGGATTTAAAGGAACTGGCTGCAGAGGGTAAAGCACAGCTGGAGGCTGAAGAGATGGAACCACAACTTCCTAACAACACCAGTACATCTCACAGCTGGACTCGAGCACGTGTTCCTTCAAACCTGGCTTTCCTTTCAAGAAATCTCTGAATGAAAAGTAGAAGCAGTTTTTGCCTTTGCAACTTCACCAAGCTCTTCCAGCTCAGACACTCAGCTGCCAGAATAAGTAGCAACCTTATTTGGCCTCTGGATGGGAGAAAAAAGGCACCCAAACCCAACAGGCTAGAGAGCCCTTTGGAGGACAGCAAGGGTTACAAACGCACTCCATGTCCCAGCACTGGCAGCTGGATTGGGTGAGGATGATACTGGGGACCATGGGGGCAGCTCATGACAGGGAAGGCTCAAGAGGCAGCACACGGCAAAAAGAACAGCAAGGGAGCCTTGGCTGGAACCCATCCACCATGCCTTACACAGATGAGCCCACCTCTCCTCATCAAGCAAGGTGAGATGCCCAGGCTCTGTCTTTAGAGAAGCACAGGAGGGCAATTCACCTAACTTCCCTCAGGGCTTGCTAGAGGCAGAGTACCTCAGGTGCAAGCAGTACTGATCCTTCCTCAAGACAAGATCACATACTGGCCTCCCACTTCCAGCATACCAGGCTGGCCCCACCTCTCTGGATGTGATCTCACACATCCTCCGCCACAGCAAGTCCCTATCCCCTCCATTCCCCCACTCTGGCCAGGCTCCCATAGCCTCACCAAAACATCCAGGAAGGGCTGCAAGCTGGCAGGAGCCCCCACCTCCCTGTCTGACAACATGTGATATGGCAATACAGGAACTATGGCAATAGAACCCCAGCAGAACCCCAGCAGAACTTGACGGATCCCCAGTGGAATGTGAGGGGACAACAGCCTAGCAGAACAGTGAGGGGAATAATCCCAGCCACACCCAGGGACACGGAGGACCAAGATGGCATCTCAGGTACCTCCCTGCCAGTAGAACTCTGCCTGTTCTGGGACACCTGTCCGGGGTTTGATGGGGAGGAAGCTTTTCTGGGGCCCTGGTGTGGCTGTCAGATGCTGCTTTACCATTTACCCCTATGTTTCCTTGTTGAACTGATTTTTGCTGTTCTCCTTCCCTGTTTTCCCTTTCATACCTTTTGTCAAAAACCAAACCCCTGACAGAAAAAAACCCATCATACATGGGAGCTAGGGAGGAAGGAAGAGAAGGTACCTGCAGAATGCCCCGAAGGCCATTGCCTTCCCTGCAGCAGGCCAGGGTAGAGACACAAGGATGGGTAATCAGAGGAGGAGAGACACAGAGCCAATTTCCCCCTTCGGCCCCCCAGCCATCCCTGAGATCAGACTTTCCTGAGATGTAGAAGCAACAGTTGACTAGACCATATTATAACATACCTTAACAAAACGTAAAAAGGGGAATTAAAGAAAAACTTTCTCAAACCTCTGTTGAACCAGTTCTAGTGAGAGCTGGAGTGAGTGCCCCTTCTGCCCCCCTCCCCTCCACCTCAGATCTTGGTGCAGACCCTCACGCTGGCAGACCCTAAAAATGGGGACAGCACATCCTGGCATGAAGCCTCTTGACAAGGTGCCTACAGATAGGGTGCAGGCAAGAGAGTTTTAGAGCATTTGGTAGGACTGTGCTTAGCAGGGTCAGTGCTGACAGCATTGTCTCTTGGCTTCTTTCTCATTCTCTGTGTTCTCTTCATAAACAACATTCACATTCCTTTATCTCTTTATTCTTTTCAGATTACACTGTCATAAATTTCTACTTCAGAGCTTTTAGTTTTGATGGACAGTTCTACGACTATATGTATTTTTTTCCTTAGACTTACCATAACATTTAGATTTCTAGATGCATGCTTCAGAGAGTGCAGCATAAGAGACTCAACTGAAGAGCATAAGGATAAGTTATTCTACCAGTGGAAGGAGGAGACACCAGAGAGCTTCTCAGCTCTCTCTCAGTACAGCTGGCTCAGTATAACTGTGATTTATTCTCCTCTAAACCTACAGAAATTGTAGTTACTTAGTATCACTGCAAATTTACACCTCTGGTGTTTCACTGCCTGTGTTAGGACTGTGACCTTTAGCTCCGTGTTTAAGGCTAATGGATTAGCTATGCATTATTTGCCATCTCTAAGAAATGCTGTTCTGATCTCTACTAAAATATTGGGCTTCTGCAGAGGCCAGGACAAAAGGCAGCAGTGCCTGGGCTTCCTTCTTGCACTGCAGGACATGAAACAGGAGAGACTATCTTGCCAAAAGGCCTTTGTGTGGATGAGAGGATCAGATCCTGAGTGCCAAAATGAGCACGAAATGTTTCTACCTGCAGTTTGCTGCAGTGTTAGAAATCAAAAACCACAGCCAGCAGTAACTTCAGCTCTGTGTTACCCACAGCCGTACTCAATAAATCCCTGATGTTGCTTTCAGATGAGTTCTTTACCCTTCCAGAGCAGGAAAGAGACAGACCCACCAGCAGTGTTAATCTGGGATTTCTGTGCTTTGAGTCTAACTTCAGATCACTTCTTGTGTCTCATGATGCACATCCCAGAACATTCACTTAACAACCATGATTTATAGCTGGAGCTGCTCTGTTTTACTGTGTTGTACATCGCTATGCTCTTAAAGTGCCAGGCTTCCTGAAGAGCATTCATAGACTGTATCTCCTCAGTTGTGTGTAGAGCATGTGTTCTGGGCCACAATGACATCTGCTAAAGTCAGGTTTTAAATCCCAACAGTAGAGGTTGGGAGTCTGATCCTGCATACCTCTCTTGTTTATGCCTACATATTACAAATGCAATTTTTCTGATTTACCAGAATAAGTGTGTTCAGTTCTTAATTTGGAGCATTACTGGTTACAAACAGAGCCAGTTGGTTCTCATTCCTGCACCTGCAAAACTAGCATGGTCCTTTTAACCTTGAGGGAATTCTCTAGGGCCTGGATTATCACATTTTTGCCATATCTGTCTGTATTTCTATTAAGCCTACTAGTGGTCACTGCATGTTACAGAAATGTAGGCAGCCCCTCAGCTGGAGCCAGTGTCACTTCTGGTGAGATCCAGGTTTTTGGACACAGCCCTTCAAATGGTAAGACACTGCTGAGGTGAGTATTACTGGCTTCTGTTGATGCTTACAGGACAGGTGGGATGCAACAGGCATAAGTGCTGCACAACAGGAGACCACTCAAGAGTCTTCTGTGTGACTTACAGAAACCAATTACTTTCCAAATATATTTGAAAGTGCAAAGTGCAGAAATAGAGTTATTTCAGGAGATTGTTTTCTCTGCAAGAGTAGTGGTTATAACTCAGATTCTGGAGACCTAGTCTGGACACAGCTGCAATGGCAGAAATAGGTGAAACAACCTGGTTGGTTTCAATAGGTTTGTTTGGCAATTAAAGCCCATGAATGTTTTTTCCATATATATATATATATATATGTATATATGTATGTATATATATAAAATATTGCTTTATGGTTTATATACATATATATATAAAGGTATATAATGTGTATAATAATAACAGTACTGAGTGTATAATATGCACACTATTAGGAAAGTAGTCAGCTACTCTCCTTGGATCTGTAAATAGATGCATATATGCATATGCATATGCATATATACACAAACACAGCTGCTTTTTTGGCATTTAAGGAAGTGTGGAGTCCAGCACCCCAATCTGCCCTTTGTGGGTGGTGTAGCTCTGAGTATCACAGCGCCCATGGTGCCAGTAAGCCCCTCTGCTCCAACAAAATGTGGGGACTGCAGGGATGCTTCACTGGAGCCCACAGTCCCTTCTGGCCTGTGGGTCTGACAGCTCCTGAGATCAGCTATTGCATTGCAAAGTCCTACCAAAAAGTCACATCTAAACAAAGCTGAGACACCACCAGATGCCTTTCATTGCAGTGGACTGTAAACTACAAGATTATAAATCCCATAGGATCAAGCAGGCATTGCTTAGGGGGAAAGATTTCCTCTACTAGCACAAATATCTTGAAGATAGCAAAGGAAATCAGAGGCTGACTAAACTCATATTTACATAGTATTCTCTCCAGACCTACTGTGGTGTGGAAATTCCACTCCAATGTCTGTGTATGAAAGTCTCTCTAGCTTTGTGTACATAGCACTCCTTTGTGTACATAGCACTCCTCTACCTTCTGGGGTACGTGCAGGGAGCTTATAGATGGAATTAATTTATTTTACATTTTAAAATACGGCACAGAGTTTAATCCTCATTTGATGGTATTGTACTCTCTGTCTTCTGACTCTACCTGGGGACTTACAGATGTGCAAAAACCACCATCTTCCCTGGGACAATCCTCCAGGGAAGGTGTCATCTCCTTTGCAGCGCCCAGTGGAGCTGCCTGGGATACTGGGTCCCACCAATTGCTCTCAGTGAAAGAGCTTGACAGTGTTCTCCTGACCATCATTCCACCCAACAGGGGATCCCAACCAAGTGGACGTTGTCAAAGAAAGGGTGAAGTCAGCTTCATTTTTAATGGGGGATGATGGGAGAGCTCAGAGTAAGGAAAACTAGGTTTCGATGGTGAAGCTGGCACTTGTGATGGGAATACCTGCATGGGGCTTGGCAGCTTGGTTCACCAGCCCACTTTGCTCAGGGCAGTGCCCCAGGATGGGGATGGCAGGAGGTCCATGGACTCATCGAGCCTGGCTGTGACTGAGAGCAGGGGAGTGGGGGGCTATGAGATGGAGCAAGAGCTAAAGAAATATGGGGGTAACAGCGCCAGGGAGGCAATTCCACTGTTATTAACACAAATACAGTCATCGCTCTGCCTTTGTCTCCTGATGAATCAGAGGAAATTGCCTCCTGAGCCCTTTGCCTTCCAACTACTTCAGCTGTGTTTTGTTTCTCTAAGATTCAAATATTCTGACTAGGTTTCAGCATATCATTATGAGAACAGAACAGCTATAGAAGAAGCTTCACAGAAGAAATAGCCTGTAAATATTGCTTTGAATTCTCTTGCTATTTATGGAGAGTTCTGATATCAGGAACAGATATGGCTTCGGACAAAATGAGTTGTGGTGCTGCAGATGTGTTTGTGAATACTTAGTGGACAAGCTCCTGTGACATTATAATGGGCAGCTTACCATTATCTATGAGATTTTTAAGCCTGACATTTTGATGTAAGTGATTTTTCTATTTAATACTAGTCCCCATGAACTATAAGCTTACGAAAGCAAGACTACTCTTCTTTGTGTGGTGATCCTATCTGGCCAGATTAGCAAAACGTTTATTTGCATTTTGCAAAAAAAGACTGGGCTTTGTAACGAAAATACATCAGGTCAAGTGAAAAATAGGTTTGACATCAAAATCCCACAATGGCTCATGATGGAGAGGGGGAGGCAAACTTCCAAAGCAGGAATATTTAATTCTGGCACTTTCAAAATGTGGCATTCCATCCCTTTAATTTCCCACGGGATTCTTTTTCTAACATTTCTTCTGATGAAAACAAGCATGTAAGCAAAAAAAAATACTCTGTATTTAGAATTCAACAAAACACTTCATTTGATCCTCTTCAGTTTCCTGGATAAGTTCAACATGAACATTCAAGTACTGCATTTCTTCAAACTGTGCAGAAACTGCTGATCCGTGAGTTGTGCAGCTTTGATGTGCCAAGAAAGGGTCCTCTAAAAGCTACTGTAATTCATATTACTCTGTAGGACCTTCCCTATGAGTGTGAAACTCAGCCTGGCAGGTACAGTACAAGCACAGAGCCAAAAACTGTCTGTCCTAAAGGCTTTACCCTCCTGGTATATGATTTCCATACCATCAGATATATGTTTTTGTGTGGAGTGGCATATGGAGAATGGGAAAATCCATTCAAAACATTTTTCTACCACTTGAAGAGTAGTTCTCCACACCTGCTGTATAAGGTGATTTTTCTCTTTTGTTTTGGAGGAAGACAGGATAGGAAGTGAAGCAAGGCAACATAGACATACTGTATATGAAGAATGAGATCCTGCCCCTAGGCGCTGCTGCTGCTGCTGCATGGAGCCAGTTAGTGAGCTAAGCCTGCAGGTTCATGGCTCGTGCTCTTCCACTGGGTTTGAAAAATGTGCAGCTCAGCTGTGCTTTTATTTATTCCAATTCCCTATTTTCAAGGTTGAAAGAGGAAATTTTTGAAAAGCCTTACTTATAATGCATTATAAAACATCCTTTAAAACATACATGGAAGAGGAAGAGTTCAAGGATAGCAGTCAGTGTTAAGCAGTGGTGGTGTGCACAGACATACCTAGGTGAAACACTGTGCATAGACAAAAGGCCAGGACAGCCCTTGCCATGCAGACATTGTGAAAATGGCACTGATTTGCCTCAGAGCATTCTCTGAGCTTGCCCACATGCATGCATTGCAACCCAAGGCGAATGGCAACTACAGGGCATTACAGCAGGGAAATGCAGGCAGCCCTGAGTTGGAGGAAGCAGCAACCAAAACAGCCCGGTTAGACTTGGCTTCTAAACACAAGATAGAGAGACATTATTGTTACCCTCTCCTCAGCACTAATGAGGCACATCTGGAATGGTATGTCCAGTTTGGAGCTCCCTAGTGTGATAGACATGGATGTACTAGAGAAAAAGTCATCAAGACATGTAGAAGCTGGAGCCTACACATGTAAGAGGAGTTCAAGAGAATTAAATTTGTTCAGCTTGGAGGAGAAAATACTCAAGTACAACCCACTGCTGCCTGGAGCTGCCAAATGAGAGGGTTAAGAGGGGACAGCTAGACGTCTCAGAGCTGCACCGCTGTGAGATAAGTTGCAACAGACACACAATGGAATATTGGAAATTCCAATTAAATCTTAGCAAAAATATTTTCAGCATGAGAGTGGTTAAACACGAGAGTCAGAAAGGCTATAGGATCTCGACCTTTGGAAATATTTAAAATTTGACTGGGCAAAACCCCAAGGACCCTGATCTAGTTGACTTGCTTTGAAGAAAATCCTGGACCCCAGTGATCTCCAGAGACACCTTCCAGCCTGGCTTGTTCTCTAGGTCTGTGACCATGAAAACTTGACAAATGAAGCAGAATGACAGGAGGACAGTGATCAGCAGAGCTAATGACATAGAGATGTTTTTAAATATGGTGAAGAAGCAAAGGAATCTTAATGATTTGTTACAAGAGAAATGACAGAATTGTTTATGAAAGGCAGAAGTGACAGACTTTTCACAAGCTAGTTCTTTAAGGAGATTAAAATTAGTGATGTAATTAGTTTACACGATAATATGCTATTTGGGATATTTTAGGAAACTTTGTGTCCCAGCAATGAAGGATGCAGTGTTAAAGTGGCACTAGTAAAGCTAGGTGCTTTACAATCAGATGTTGACAGACAACCTAAACCTAAGAGTAGTCACATGGGTCATATGTATTGGTTTTCACAAGTATCTCGACCAGAAGGAAAGTTCCAGAAAACAAAAAAAAATATCACAGGAGAGGACTAAGAGCAGAATTAAAGACCATCCTTAATGTGAATCAGCTCAAGGTTAGGGAATATGGCTTTTGCCAGACCCAACTCAGTGATTTCTTTTAATGAGATGTATAAGTTTGAGCCTGAGATTAGCTCAGTTGGTCAGAGCATGGTGCTAATAACACTAAGGTCACAGATTTGATCCCCATATAGGCCATTCACTTAAAAGTTGGACTCAATGATCCTTGTGGGTCCCTTCCAACTCAGAATATTCTGTGACTCTGTGACTGACAAGGGGAAAATACTGACACCCTGTACCTGTCCTTCTCCATAGCATTTGAGTTCATAGTATCAGACACTTGTATTAAGCAAGTAAACTAGTTCAGCCTTGTGGATTAAAATGTGCTAACCACCTATGGTCTTTAGCACACAAATGGTAAGGGGTGACCGCTGCAAGAGCACCTCAGAAATAGTGCTGGCTGGGACCTTGTCTAGTCAGCGTGTTCACCTTCAACAGTGCTGTGCTGGTCTTGCTTGGCCTTAGCCTACTCTTTTCTCAGAAATTATTCCACTGGGGAAACCCAGCCAAGGGATGAAGAGCATGTCCTGCTGAGCGATTCCCAGTACACCTGTACTGCCTGAGTGAGAGTATGTCTGTGGGCTCCCACAGTGCTGGTAGAGACAACTCCGCTCGTGTGGACAGAGGGGTCTGCAAAGTTTGGAGGTGATTCATGGGTGCCACAAAGTTGACATGCAGAGCACTGCAGGGTTTTGGGCTTTCTGCATTGATAAAACAAGTGAAAACAGCCATCTCAGTCTGCAGTCAGACAGAGCAGGGAGCATCATGCCAAATGGGAATTGACAGGGAGGGGCAGACAGGGAAAGAAGAGGTTGCAAAGCACTAGTTCTGCCAAACTAACCCTATCGTTTTTCCTCCCTTTATCTCTTGACATTAAACAGACTGAGTGGGTGAACAGAAGATGGAGACACAATTAAGCAGATATTGCAAACAGGAGGGTGAGCCGCTTTTTATGGCTAGTTCATGTTTCAGATACAGAACTATATAGAATAATGCAATAACAAAAATCATGCAGTATTCACCATGGGTTTATTTGCCGCAGGTCCTCTGAGAGCTGCTTTTGTTTATCTTTGTTTAATTGGCATGGTCGGATGGCCACCAGCAGGTCCAATTAAACAGATTCAACAGATTCCACTGTACATTTTTATTTTTTTCTCCATCAGCATATAGCAAAAGATGTCCAAAATAATTTGTCTGAGTACTAGTGATGAATATAAAGTGCACTCTATTCCAGCCTGCACACAGTAAGTTTCAGCTGTGCAGAATTTTACAGCCGAAGCAAACTAGGTTAATAATGAAATCACTGATGTGTGTCCTATCTAAAATGCAGATAAGGCATTATGCCCTTCCTTTGTAGCTATCTTAAGCTTTGGCCTTTAAGTGTTGGATGGGAACTATTTAAGAAAATCCCACCAACAGGACCTGGGCATGCCCTTAATATCAGGTATTTGTATAAGTGCTTTGTTGAATTGGAGCCTAGTAGATCCTCTTGAAAAGAAAGTGATTTTCAATCTAATAAGGTTATCTTAGTGTGAACATTTTAACTACATCAATCAATATGCCCGTCAGGAGTAAATGACTAATGGGATTTCTCTTTTCTTTCTTTCTTTGTTACAAGAATGATGAATTGACCTTGCCTGTTGCTAAAGATTCTCATCTCCTTAATGCATTGCAGATATGTTTAATGGAAGCAAGCTGTCAGGGTCTTGCAATAACCAGTCCCAACCAAAAATATTTACCCTTGGGACTGGGTCATCAGATTCCAGTTCTGCTCTCACAGTGGAAAATTTGAAAAGGCTAGAAGAGGAATATGCAGCTTCTGAAGAAGCCTTCAAAATGCAGAGAGTACAAGATTATATTGAACAGACTGATCTTGCTCTCTTCGACAAAGAGACAAGTAGGAGAACCAACAGAGATTTTGTCTGTGATGTAGAGCCTGAAGGAGTCTCCTTATCCCCTCCTGCAAAACAAGAAAAAATTACAACTGAGGTTCCTGAAAGATCCCCAAAGAAAGGAAAGATATTAACAGGTATTTTTTAGCAATCTTTTAGAGGAAAGGAGAGAGAATAAGTCAGTTGTCCTTGATCTTTTTTACATTTCTGTCTGCATATAATAGAATCATAGAATGAACCATCATAGAATGGTTTGGGTTGGAAGGTACCTTTGAAGATCATCTAGTTCCAACCTCCCTGCCATGGGGAGGGACACTTTTCAGTAGACCAGGTTGCTCAAAGTCCCATCCAGCCTGGCTTTGAGCACTGCCAGGGATAGGGCATCCACAGTTTCTCTCAGCAACATGTGCCAGTGTCTCACCACCCTCACAGTAAAGAATTTCCTCACAGAAGAATCACAGAATATTCTGAGTTGAAAGGAACTCACAAGGATCATTGAGTTCAGCTGTTAAGTGAATGGCCTGTACCGGGATCAAAGCCCCAGCCTTGGTGTTGTCAGAGCACGATGCTCTGACCAAGTGAGTCAGGGTCAATATAAATCTCCCCTCTTTCAATTTAAAACCATTACCACTTCTCCTGTCACTATTGAGCTGTGAGAACATGGTAAGCGGTGCCAGCATCCAGACTTGAATCCCAGCCGTGGAGAGAGCTTATCAAAAGTGCAAGGTACTAGTCTGCAAAGAATGGGATTTTACTGTTAGCTAGTTTCAACAAAATCACAATGAAACCAGCACAAAGTTTAAACTCAAAACCCTCTGATCCATTTTAGATAGCATCCATTTTAGTTTTGTCTGGGTAAGAGTTTCTCTGTTAAATGTAAATGCAAGCTAATTAATATTAGACATTTATCTGCCTTAATAGATATCTCAAGCTATGTTTACTTCATATATATATATATATATATATATATTCCTGCTTTTAATAATATTTTACAGCTCATAAAGTAATCCAGCCAATGTTTGGAGGCAGTTAGCAGGGACAAAAATACAGTTAATCCATGGAAAGGAAACCCCTCTAAGTTATAGGGGATAACCCCCTTTTTTAAGGACTTTAAGAACTTGTCCCATTTCAGTTCTGGCTGCCTGTGGTGACACTACTTGCAAGTCAGGACGTGGCTTGTGGCTGCATGCAGGACAGGGTCACAGCTGTCCCCTGCGAGTGGGTGATAAAGGGACAAGTGGCTCCATCAAAAGCCACTGGAAGGGGACCATGCAGCAGCCGTGGGGAACTGCAGCTGGGTTGTCTACACAGAGAAAGTATGGCTTTCTGCAGGAGACTCTGGATCACAAACAGGGATCCAAGTGGGACAATTTGGCCTTATCCTAAGTAAAAATCATTTTTTTTGAAGGAAAGGTTGAACTTTTTCCATAATTCCTCTTTGAACATGCTGTAAGCAGGCATTTCACCTGCTATGGAAGAGCCCCTAGCACAGCCTGCTTTGGCACAAACAGAAATGCACAGCCAGCATGAAAGAGACAGGCTGTTCCCTGAAGTAAAAGGTTACCTATTTCCTAAGGAATTCATGAATTGGTCCTTCTTGGGGGTTTACCAACAGAAGTGTTTTCTGCTCACTTTCACATTTTTCTCAAGGTAAATTTGCCAGCTCCTAAGAAGGAGAAAGATCAACTGTTCACACATGTAAGGTTTATTTTTTAAGAGCTTTCCATGTGGAAATAAAGTATTCTTATCAAGCATACATGTGAGCTGCATCCTTGGGGACAAATCTGTCCTGGGAAGAGGCTGAGGGTCTGAAACAGCCACAAAAGACAGGAAGCAAATGCACGTAAAAATCTCTCTCAGTGCTATTTCAAGCAGTCATTTCTTGGATTTCTACATCACAATTAAAATTCAGATGATATATGAAGTTTGTTTCAGACTGTTTCAGTAGAGAGCTAGTATTTAGACACAAGAAGATTTACCAATGAATATCAAATATAGGAATGCCTCATTAGGGACCCAGTGTCAACATTTAATATGTCTTCAAGAATTTGTACAGTACAGAGATTCACTGGGGCTTTTTTTGCTTCTTTTTGTCTCTTTTCATTATTTTTTGTCTTTCATAGGGGTGGCTTATGTAATCCAAGCAGTAACCTTCACTTCAATGCTTTTGATGTTTCTTCTAGCTCCCTGTCATAGCCATACCTCTCCTTTACTCTATGTGTTTTACTCTCCTACATTTTCTTTTCTCCCCTGCCACCCTATTGCCCTCTCCAAGTGCCTTCTTGTTCACCCTCTTTCCCCAGTCCGTAGGCGCCTCTCCTCTCTCCCATCACCTTCTGCATATGCCTGCCCTAAATCTCTTCCATCTGCCCTTTCTGATTTTTTGGAAATAACACCACATGGTATGCAGACGCTGAGGTAGGTTGCATAAGAGCTGTTTTACCTGATAGAGCATTTGAGACAAGCTGAGATGTACAGCTAACCTGGTAGATGAGGGCTGTAACAGACCCCAGGTCTGTCATGCTCAGCACAGAGGGAAACAGGCAGCCTGTGGCCACTGAATTAATGCAAACCTGGAGGAGAAAGGTGCTGCTCTGACAGCAAACCCCTCAGGGCACCACATCTGACTGTATGAGCTGTTTGGGCCAAAACTGGCGGTTTCCTCCTCATTCTTGTAGCATCATGACCTTCCCACAGAGGGGCAACCGCAGTCCCCTGCACCCCATTGCCTCTGTGCAGCCGCAGGGAAGCTGAAACATCCATGGGAATATGTCCTCCTAAAGAGTCCGTAAAATAAGGAAACCCAAGCTGTTTACAAATGAAACATGAACAGAAAGGCAAAGTAAATTAGCTGGTAACTCTTGTCTCTTCCTCTGCAAAGCCTGTCTTCAGTCTCCAGAAACTTTTTTTAAGGTTCATTTTCAGGAGCTTTTTCTTTGCTCTCCCACAATTTATCGTACCATTAAAACTGGTGGGGAAAAATGTTCCTCGTTAAGGTGGGAAGGTTTTATCTGAAATACAAAATAATGAAATGGCAAGAAATCTCAAAGCAGGAAAAAAATCCTCGCTGTTCTACACAAAAAGAGGATCTTTTTTTATTTTTAAAGAAAGCCCTCTCTCTCTCCCCTCCAGCACCAGCAACATATTCTCCACCAGCTCAGCCCACGGGACCTGTGCCGAAGGAATCCAAGTAAGCAGAGTAATTGGTAACATTTTTCTATATAATTCAATCACATTAGGCTGTATTTATGCCATACACAGGTGAGCAGCAGGAACACCTAACAACTGGAAATTTACAGTATGCCCGAGACATTCACAGCCTGGCAGCCACTGCTGTGCCCCTGCTATTAATAAACTGGAAGTTATGTCTGTCTCAGTGGTTGTCTTTGGGCCCCTCTACATTTGCTGTATTAAAAGGGATGCTGTCAGCCTCTGCAGAGAGTTTTTTAATTTTTTTTTTTAATTTTGTTAGACAAATAAATCCCGTGCAGTATCTCTCAAATCAACTGAGATGTGTGACTTCTGTTTTACAGGCTGCTCTTCCGGCTGGGGAGGAAAAGGAGGTCTGATTCTCCAGCCACAGTAAATCAGTATAATACCACCCTTCACACCATCGACACTGCTGCAGCAACACAGATTTACACCAGCTGGAGACGTAGCTCACTCCTTTAGTCTGTCCAACATAAACATACAGACATATCTAATCTTCCTTGCAGAGAGAAGGCAAAGAAAAGAAATTGAATAGAGACACTTGTTCAAGAGACAAAGACCAAATTCTTCTTTGATGTACTTTAAATGGCACTCAGTTCACTGATATCTTCATAGGAATATCCAAGGAAGTTTATAGTTTTTTTCTTTAAAGATGTTACCAGATGTTACCTTGGCACCAAATGAAATAGATATAAGCAGCTGTTTAAGGGAAGGCTGTTGCATTGCTACATGAACATGCAGCAAGGTGTTTTTTTCATTTTAGTTTATAAATTTTATTCATATAAATTTTAAGTATGTTATGACTTTTATATATATAAATATAATTGTTTAATATTTCTAGAAATAAATGTTATAAATCCGTAACTGGCAGCCTGAAAGAGTGCAGACTCTATTTCTTCCCCAGATTTTGAAAATGTTATGGACTGAGGTAAAACATCTGATGTGACATCAAGGGAAATCAGTCAAAGTTTTCTGGCTAACAGAAAGTCACTACACAAATGAAAGAAAAAAGAGATTTTCCCTCCATCTGAGAGGTTTGTGAGAAGGGACCAGCAGTCCAGCTCCCAGCAGTCCTGGCCTGACCTGACCTGTCCTTAAGGGACTGACTGTGATCTGGGGTGCATGCAGCCAGCTGCCCATGCATTGTTGAGGTTGCACCCTGACCTTTAATGGGCAGGCAGGTTGCTCAGTATGATCGCATCTCATCCTCAAGCAAACACTGTGGAAGTGTCCTGAGTCTCTCACCTACCCCCTGGTCCTAGGAACAGGGGCTTCCATGAGATTTGGACTTGATACTGGTCCCTGTTAACCTGGACATGGCCCTTTACTGGGCTTTGCTTCTCATGTGTAAGGCAGTGATGATGGCATTTTACTAACTCAGCAGAGCCAGGAGACCAAACACACAACAAAGGCACCAGAGCATCACTACTCCCCCTATTCCTCAAAAGTTTTCATCCACACATGCATTAATTTGTGTATGCTGTGCCCAGCATCCTTTATAATTTATAGGTAACTAATAAGAAATCAGTGATGTGTAAAGGCCTTGTTGAATTACTAATGAAGATAAATTAAAAAAAAGAATTAAAAAAGCCCTTCACTCCTTACCCTGAATCAGAATACAGTCAAGCATCAAACACAGTTTGTTTGGTATCTCATTGTCCTAATTTTTTTTGTGTGTTTTTTTTTATTTTTTTTATTTGTCAAGGCCACAGGCATCTTTAAATTAGTATATCACAGGGGCTATAAGAAATTATCTCTACATTGCACAGATAGAAGTGTCTGGACACCTTGATAGTTCCGTGTTGTAGGCTCAGAATGATTTTGTACCCTGACTGACAACTTTAGGTTAAAGGAGACAGAGGAAGGGTGTATGGAAAGTCCCAGTTGCTGCTGGATGTGCTATGGTTATGGAGGGATGTCCCAGAAGAGCTGCAGTCCATGTGGGTGTGGAGCAATACCATACCATCAGCTGAGTGGGGGTCACCTAATGCCATTTGCAGAACTGTGTAAACTGAGATAAACAGAAAAGCGATTTTAGGACTGATATAACCTTATTTCATCCAGTGAGCTAGAGGCAAGGAAAGCAGTAAGACCATGGAAGACTTTGTGCACAGCTGCTACCAACAGTCCTTGTCCATTTTGGTGGGCTGGCAGTTACCCCTCTCCACTCTGCTGTCCTTACCTTCATGAGTGCATCTCTCCCCTCTGTGTGCTGCAGACCTAACTTTCACAGGGATAAATACCTTTCATTATTGATATCCCAAGTTCTGTTCTGTTCCTCTCCTCTTAAGTAAGGTACCCTCCTGGTAAACCAGGACAGTGCTGAGCACCTCACCTTAAAGCCCAGCAGCTGACGAGCATCATCAAGAGTGTTCTGAACCCATTTGACCCCACTCTGTCAAAGAGCAGGCATAAGCTGATTTTGCAGTGAGCTGCTCCTTAAAAGCTGCTATCCATCACTACCCTAAGGCATAATGCTACAGCTGACGGATGACAGCTGCTTGAGGTGGGAGAATGCCTAGATGTTCTCAGAATCTCCAGCCTAACTGTGTCAGTGTGAGCTGTCTCAGTCAACAGAGATGGTCATGACCAAGAATGGAGGAATATTTTAGTTTTGAACTTCTTGATTTTAACAGGCCTCCTCAGGCAGATAGTTCCCTCTCTTTTTGCCTGAAAAGGGGGAGCTGATTCACTTGAAATCTACCATCTGTTTGATGGTGCTGTCATTGTAGTCTACCAGCAATGTGCAAAAACTGTTCCTCCCCTCCCTGCCTCCAGCAGTCCTCAGATTGTCCCTCCTTCTTGCCACCAGTTAGATGGGCCTCTGCAACCATCCAAGGCCATTTTTCAAGGCCAGCATCTCCTTTTAGGCTAGCACAACTTCTCTGTCTCCAGACATCCAGGTTTCAAAGGACATTTGAGGGCTTTCTGAACCATTCACAAATGGCATTCAAATCAAGCACATTGATTTCGAGGGACTCATAAGACACCTCAGTGTTTTAGGGGATCCTGGCCTAAGGGTTTCTCCATGAGTGAAGCACACTGTCACTAGGCTGTCTAGGGTTCATGAAATGCTTAGCTAGCAAAACAAAAAACATTAACTGCTTGGCTACAGCTTTCTGCCAAAAGATAGTCAGGTTGTGCTTCAATGCAGATGTCTCAGGGAAAAAATGTGCAGTGCATTAGAGAGCTGTGACTCATAGAATAATTATCCTCATTTCTCATAGTTTATTAATAATTTAAACCCAATCTTGATGTTATTGATCTATCATTGAATCGGAGATTTGTTTCAGGTCTGTAGTCACTGAAGCAGTAAATTTAATCCCCCTTCCCTCCCACCCTTCTATCCACTAAACTCACTTTATAACTAAAACATGATGTTTAGGCTGTTTCAATAACAGGAGAGAAGAATAAGAGCTCAGAGGCAGCGGGTGGCAGGAGCAGCCTTAAGCCCACAGATGATCAGTGGTGGTGACATGAGGTTCTGGTTTTAATACATCATTTTTGACCAAACCATCCCTTACACATTGCCTCAGGGATGCCAAAAGGACCAGAAGCTGCTTGCTGGCACATGCATCACAACCAGATCCTAGACCAGTTTTGCCTGTTTTCATCTAGGTTTTCTTGTCCATTCCCACCATTAACCATCAGTTTGCACCCATCCCAGTTGAGTATCCCAGTCCTACTCTTTGTCCCCTGGAAACACAGATATAAGCTCATCAAGGTTAAGTGTCTGCAACACGTGGGCTGTTGCGAGGCACACAAGCTCTTGGATCCAATACTAATCTTACTTAAACTGGTGAAAACCTGAAGCAGCTGCCTTGGTGTCCCAGGAGTACCATGAGTGTAAAATCCATTTATATGCGTGGACGATCAAGCCTAGAGAACTATAACGTGAAGACTCCTACAGCAGTGCTCACTGGGCTGTACCATGTGTCTAGTGAATTCAATAATACAGCAGCAAGATTTGGCCTTTAAAGGAAGCCAGGAATAGAAAACAGCATCCTTTATGGCTGTTAAGTGCCCAGAAGAGTGATTTTTGTAGGCAAATGAAATACATTTTTATTAGACCAACTGTAGTATACAGTTGGGTTGGAAAACATGTTCTTTGATGTACGAACTCTTTCTCAGGTATGGAAGAAAACAGATGTGCCCAAATGCTCATCTATTCTTTTCCATCTATATTAATAGATATTAAATATATTACCATCCCCTGCCGGCCCTTGCTGCTCACCTTAGACCCTGCAGCTGAAACCACAGCAAGTGGGGGCTTTTGGCCACCACTGGGGGTCCCGCAGCTATAGGAACGTGTGACAGGGCCAAGTTGTCGCAGGCTTGCTCTAAAAAGCAAACCAGATCAGTGTCACCAGACAGACAGGATATGTTGGTGCGATAAAGGGCTGCATGCACCCACAAATGTGTGCTCTTAGCATGTCTGGTGTTTTTTGCCCAAGTGGGAAACATTCCTAGAGATGAACAGCAGGAAAACAAAGCACAGCAAATACAATATAGTCTATTGTGTTCCAGAACCCACTATCCACCCTGACCTTATCCTTCCCCAACTGTGTTTCCACATATCTTCAGGCACACTACTCACCTGCAATATTTCATATGGGATTGTGCTGCTCTCCCTCCTGCTGGTCGGTGGACCCCCACGGTCTGCTTGACACACTACGCTAATCCTCCCCCCCACCCACCCTCTCCCCCCACCCTCCCCTCCCCCCCCAAACCTGGAATGCCAAACCTCTGTGTGCTCTGAAGCTTCCTTCTCCTCTTTCGCTTCTACTCTCTTATATGGTTCCGAATCATGGGTCATCTACCGCCACCACGTACGTCTCCTAGAACGCTTCCATCAACGCTGCCTCCGTTCAATCTTAAACATCCACTGGTCAGATTACGTGACCAATACATCTGTTCTAGAACAAGCAGCAGTCACAAGTATTGAGGCCATGTTACTGAGAACACAGTTGCGATGGGCAGGGCACGTCTCAAGGATGAAGGACCACCGCCTCCCTAAGATCCTGCTCTATGGTGAACTTGCCACTGGCTGCCGCATGAGAGGAGCCCCGAAGAAAAGATACAAGGACTCCCTGAAACAACATCTCAGCCTTGGCCATACTGATCACCATAACTGGTCTACTCTGGCCTCAAATCAGGAGGCCTGGAGACACGCCATCTATAACGCAGCTGTCTCCTTCGAGAACACACGCAGGATCACTCTCGAGGAAAAAAGGCAACGCAGAAAGAACCGTGTATTGCAGAATACACCACCTAAGGAGTCTTTCTGTTGTGTCTTTTGCAGTCGGATATGTCTGTCACGTATTGGCCTCATAAGCCACCAGTGTGCCTATAATAAATGTGGATAGAGCCTTCCCAAATCTTCGTTCGCAAAGCCTAGCCATGATATGATGATGATGATTGTTTTCCAGAGGTATCATTCTTAATGGAATAGCCATGGAGC